CATTTCACAAGATTTGTCGTCATATGACCCCATCGATGGCCACCGTTAAATGCTAAAACCCATCGATGTCCACGCTCCTGTATTCGCTCATAATGAATATTAAATTCATGCTCCGTTCTTGAGTAACCTGTAAATAACAAATTATTTCTTGCATCAGCTTAAACAATGTCATGTAAGAGTATATTAATAACATTATTTTAAATATGAAACTCAGGTTTATTACCCATACGAACACAAGTTTATGCAAATTGAGAGCCTTGAATCTTTGTAAGAAATTTGCAGCTATGTGCCTAATACAATACATATGGAATGCTCTTGGAGGTTTCCACCGGCCATTACTTCTTTTTATTGCTGCTATAATTGACTCGTGACGATAAGAAATCAGGCCAACATCATCTTTAGTTACAACATATTTTCGTAAATTTTCAAGAAAAAAACTCCAAACATTTGTTGTCTCACCCTCAACAACAACAAATGCAATTGGCAATATATTCTGATTTCCATCTTGTGCAATAGTAACTAGTAGAACTCCTTTATATTTGTCATATAAATGTGTCCCATCGACCTGCACAACTGGCTTGCAATGGCGAAATGCTCTAATGCATGGACCAAAACTCTAAAACACTTGACGAAATATTTAAATATTAGGAATCAATTCATCATTGCGATAAGCCTGTGCAACATCTAATTTCACAACCGAACCTAGAACAACATCGCACATTACTATGCACCATTGGGGCAAAGTTTCAAATGACACTTGCCACTGAGCAAATACTTTTTTGATTGCCTTTTGTTTAGCCAACCATGCTTTCCGATAACTTATTATGTACCCAAATCGAGACTGAATTTCTCCAATCACTACTTTAATTTTAAAAGAAGGATCAGATTCTATCATTAGCTTTATACATCCTACAATTGTGTTTGTATCCAACTTTCTATGATCTTGAGAAATGATTCCAATAGTACAAGTCTATGGACTGTTATATTTTTGAATTTCTCAAAAATACTCGTTTTTCCTGAAACTAGCTCAAAGAAGCCACATACAATCTAAGTCATACCTTACACATTTGAAATAAATGTATTTGGTTCTGACTCGAACACTTTGTAGTCCACTCCTTTGGATATACTGTAATGCTTTACTGTTTGAATAACAACTTCTTTGTCACTAATTTCCTTCCAACATATAATTTACCATCTATCTCAGTGTTACCTACCAATATCGAATATAAACTAATTAATAAAACTATAATTAATTTCACTGATATATTTATAAAATACACATACCTAAATTTGCATACTCTGGAAACTCAGAGAAACATTCATAACATTAACATCTAAATCACGCATGAATAGTGGTTCTCCATATGGATGTAGACCAACCAGATAAGGCTCCTCCTCCTCATTATCATCATCATCAGAATCATGGCTTTCCTCGCTTCCATGTTCACATTTAAAATCGTTGTCATCACTTTCACTATTGTTTTGTTCCCATTGTATCTCTGTGTGTAGCATGGTCCCTGCATATTCTTCTTTAACCGCATTATTTTTGAAAATAATATACAACTCAATGGTACCACTTAGAGGATAACGTTGCTCATGTATCTGAAACATTTGTTGAACATCATCATCATTCATTATAGAAATTGTATGATATTGCATAAAACTGTCAAATATCGATACTGGACATTGATACATAAACACTTTATACTATTTTCAGAAACGGAGCTTCAATATATTGACTGAGTCAATACTTTAAATCTTCAAATGATATGATTTATGGAATATATATACATGTTGGCTTCTCACATGTAAAAATCACACCGTCACTAGTATTTGGTATAATCTTACCATTAAAATAGACAACAATGGCAACACTCATTTTTTCCTTCTACAAATACCCAAAATTCTCAGACACTAGGAAGAGATATGTATGCAATCACAAATGGCTGAAGACTAGCAAAAGTTCTGTATTTATAGACTCATCACTTAAAAATCGCAAGTTGCGATTTTTTTACTGTTTTTAAACTATTATCCTTGGTCAAATGTCGCCATGGGCGAGTTTAGAGTAATATTTATATTTTCTTTTGTGGTCAAATATTGCCATTTGCAATTTTAAGATTTCTTTTAATTTAATTCAGTAAAAACCTGCATGTTGCGACTTTTGTAATTACACTTTTACTTTTTATAACTCGCAAGTTGCGATTTTTACATTTGATAACATGAAATTCTGTTTACTTGACATATAAAACGCTAGTTGTGATTTTTATAAAAAATCATATTCAGGTAATATTGCCAAATTTACCATATTCTCATAATTTGGTTTTAAAATAACCATAATTAAAAAAATGACCCTAAATCTAAAATAAATAATATATCGAATTAGTGTAAAAATATAGTAAAAAGTTAATACTTATTATAGCATTATAATTTACTGTGATCTAAAACATATCTGCTATAGTTCAAAAGAAAATTTAAATTATTTTAAAATAAAAAATACCTGCTAGTTGTAAAAAAAATTATTTGTTCATAAATAAAATTAGCAAGTTTCTCAGGTGTTGTATGTTTTTATTTTTATTTTAAATATTAAATATTAAAGTGACTAGTAAATGTTTTTATTATTAATGAATATTTCATTAACTAAAACTAAATTACAGAGATAAAACTTTTAAAATTAAAAAATATTTTATGAAAATATAATATTGAATCAAGACATATTATCTTTATTATTATTACATGTTAAAATTTAAATTTTACAAATTAAATTCAAAACAAGATTGATTAAGACAATAATAATTTTAAATTTTAATTTATCTAAAAAAAAATTCAATTTTCAGTTTTGTGTTGTTGTTGCCACTCTTAAAAAAGATATTCACATTGATAGAATTTACGGAATTTAAAACCTAAATTAATTTAGAATTAAATTAAGAAATATTTTTTTAAAATAATAAAAATAAAATTAAATTCTCAATGATAAAAATAAAAAATGTGATTTAATAAGGATAAAAAATTCTTAAAAATAAGAATGAGGGTATATTGTAGAAATAAATTATCTCATTAAAATGAATTGAATTGGGTACAATGATAATAATATATTTGAAATTAGAAAAACTTCTAATTAATTTATTACTTGATTCTATTTGATAATTTGTTTTAATGTATGAAAATTTTATTACTTCTAATATTCTGATTTAAACCATATTATTATTCTGATAAAGTTCTTCTTGTATCTCTCTTCCAAGGCTTTTAATTTTAAATTTATTTGAAAGCGTTCTGATTATTAAAAATGTCTTACTTTCATATACATCTTCTTGTGTGAAACTGAATAAGAGACCAAATATTCCACAACAACCGTGTTGTTTTTTTTTCCACCATTTTTTGGTGCCGTGGAAAAGAATGAAACACAGCCAAAAGAATAAAACCGTGTGATTTGATGCAATTTAAATATTTGATGTGTAATTTTATTTTACTAAGGTAAATACTAATAAGTGTCTAAAGACGTCAGTTAAAAAATAAAAAATATTATTAATATGTTTTTTAAATATAATTTTTATTAATAAAATAATTTACTTATTGCTTAACCAACATTATTAATAATACTCTTTACCTAATTCATTTGATTAGACAAAGTAAGAATATTTTGAGGACCCACCATCAATGCCCCTATCAACACTCTCAGTTAAGTTAGGAGAGGTCAAGTCTTGGTCAACAATTGCAATCCCTCACAAAAAGTCTCTGTCAACTGATAAGAGAATCTTTGTCAGTAATTACTACTCCTCTTCAATCTGCAATCTGTAGCTTGTTCAAAGAATTTTGGTTCATTAGTAATCTTCTTCATCCAAGGTTTGTTTCAAACTCATTCATTCATTGCACTGCTTCATATATATAATAGATAGTATTTATTTGAGTATTGTATGATATATTAAGGTGAAAGACAGGACCAAAGACATCATTGTGATTCAAAGGTACATGTTTTTTTTTTTTTTAAAAAATAAAAAAACTTTCTTGGACTCTGATTTTGCTAATTACTTATGTGTGTGTTTCTGGGAAATCAAAGGGAACATGCATTATCATATTTTCCTCGCTAGAGTATAATTTAAAAGAGAAAAAAAAATCAGAAACTTGGTTAAGCTTATGAAAGGAAGTTTTATTTCCTAAAAAAGGAAGAAAAATTATGGTAACCTCTTGAAATTAGTTTATTTGCTACATTTTTCCATTCTTTTGGTAGAGTTTCTTCCAGTTTGATACAATAGTTTATATATATATATATATATATCCAAAAGTCAGTTTGAGCTCCCGGGAACCCTAGTTCAAAAGTTACTCTGTTAGTTTTATATTATCGCTTGAGATCATTGTATTGAATTTTCCCCTTTGGCAAAATTTTAACCATGTCATATTGTGTTTTAATATGTAAAGAATTTCTTTTTTTGTGATGTATATGTTTAGTGCAAGTTTGATTTAATTTATTTTACAGTAATAATCTCTTTCTGTCTTTTAACTTCATGAGAGAATTAAAAAAATTACTTCCTAAAAAAGTAGTAAGCGAACATGAACTTGATATTCTTATATTGTGTGAGAAACTACACAATCATTAAATAAGGATCAAGATTTTCTGCAATTACCATCTATTGACTTTGTTCTGTTTTGCTAGAACTGATTTGCCAAAAAGTTTAAATAGCAAACATCACTTTATTTAAGCTATGAAAAGAAAGATTGCTATATGCTGGAAGTAATCTCCAAACTACTATAGATTAGTAGGTGTTGCTAGTTTTCTCTAGTGTTTGAGATCATAGTTTTCTTGTTTTTCCCAAACTGATATAAATCATTATTTTAGTATAAAAGAACACTATATAATCACTAGAGTGCAATTGCATAAGAAAACTTGTACATTCACACACTGTCAGGTTCTCAATATAAACCTGTGAAAAGTGAAAAATAGAATTTATAGATATATACACAAGGTTCAAAAAAATTAACCATAAGAGTTTTTTAGTTTCAGGAAGATGGCCGAAATTGGTACTGCTGTGGCATCAACAATAATAGAGCGTGTGGTGGATGCAATTATAGTTTGTGCACGTTATATATTCCGTTTCAATAAATTTGTTATTGAACTTAGAAAATCAAAGAGAACACTTGAAAAAGTATTAGACCACATGAAAGAACGTGCTAAAGATGCTGCTATAAATGCTGAGAAGATTGTGCAACCAGTTGAAGAGTGGCTGAGTGATGTGGAGAAGGCTCTGGAAGATGCACAGAAGCTGGAAGAAAAGGTGGAAGATAGCCAAAGCTGTTTGAATTTGACACTGCAATATTCCCTAGCAAAAGAGGTGATATGCATGACACAGCAAATGAACATGCTCAACATCAACAACAAATTTGAGCCATTTTCACAACCCATTGAACTCTCAAGCATGGATTATTTCTTTCCTAAAGACTTCGTGTCGTTGGATTCTAGGAAGCCGGTTCATGAAAAGCTATTGAAGGCAATCCAAGATGACAGGAACATTGTGATTGGAGTGCTTGGCATGGAAGGTTCAGGTAAAAGCACATTAGCAAGAGTGGTAGGAAAGCAAGTTGAGGAGTCAAAGCTTTTTGACAAGGTGGTTATGACAGTTGTGTCTCAAGATGTCAAAGTTAGAGATATTCAAGGTCAAATAGCTGATCACTTGAGTTTCTCATTGATGGAAGAGACAGAACTTGGCAGGGCACTCCGGTTGTCTCACAGGTTAAAGACTGAGAAGATTCTTATCATTTTGGATGATGTAAGGGAGAAGCTGGACTTGGAGGCTATTGGAATTCCATTTAATGAGAATGACAAGAGATGTTGCATCCTCCTCACAACGCGCAACCAAGAAGTTTGCACTTCAATGAATTGCCAAAGCATGATTGAACTGTCTGTGTTAAGTGAAGATGAAGGTTGGACTTTGTTCAAGCAGCGTGCACAAATAGACGATGATTCCTCAGAAGACTTGAGAGAGGTAGCAATTAGAGTCTTCAACAAATGTCAAGGAGTGCTTGTTGCAATTCTGACAGTGGCAAGCACTTTAAAAGGAAAGTCTCTTTTGACTTGGGAATTGGCATTGTCAAGACTAGAAACTTGCCAATCAATTGATGTTCGAGAGAGCTTGACAAGTACCTATGAATGCAATGAGTTGGAGGAAATAATTTGTTTGGATTCAAAGGAAGCTGGAGGAATGAGATACCTATATGCTCCTTCCCTACCAGTTTTCCCCAAACTAAGGAAGATCTTAATCAAAGGATGCTACAAACTGAGAAAAATCTTCTTCCCAAGAATTGTTTCAAGCCTACCAGAGTTGAAAGAGTTATCAGTACATGACTGCAATGAATTGCTGGGAATTATTTCTTCAAATTCTTCAAACGAAGCAACACAATTCCAAAATTTATCTTTTCCATCCCAACAAGTTTCTTTCCCCAAACTGGAGGTGATTGAGATCCAAAGTTGCAACAAACTAAAAACAATATTCTTTGCAACCACTGTTTCAAGCTTGCCAGAGTTGAAAGAGTTGTCTATAAGCAATTGTAACAACTTGGAGGAAATAATTTCTTCAAATTCAGTGGAAACAACACAATTAAGAAATGTAACTTCTCCTTTCCAAGAAATTTGCCCCAAACTATGGAGGATTAGCATTGAGAATTGCAACAAATTGAAAACATTCTTCTCTGTGGCCATTGTTACGAGCCTGCCAGAGTTACAACAACTAGTTGTAAAGGATTGTGACAAGTGGGAGGAAATAGTTTTCATAGATTCAAATCAAGCCGGACAATTTAGAAACCGAGATCCTCTTTACCAACAAGACTGTTTCCTCAAACTAAGAAGTGTCCAGATTGAAAGATGTCATGCGTTGAAAACAATCTTCTCCACAACCATTGTTACATGCTTACCAGAGTTGATTGAACTGATTTTAAAGGACTGCAATGAATGGATGGAAATAATTTCTGGAGATTTAGAGGAATCAAAACAATTTGGAAACCCCTCTGTCCATGCCAAAGAAGTTTGTTTCCCCAAACTACAGAGGATTGAGATTGAAAGTTGCAGAAGGTTGAAGACAATCTTTTCTACAGCCCTTGTTACTATCCTTCCAGAGTTGGAACAATTAGTTGTAAAGGATTGCAATGAATTGGAGGGAATAATTTATTTTGATTCAGAGGAAGCAAGACAACTTAGAAACCTATCTGCTTCATCACAAAAAATTTGTTTTCCTAAATTAAGAAAAATTGAGATCTTAAAATGTAACAAATTGAAGGCAATCTTCTCTACAACCATTGTTAGAAGCCTTCCAGAGTTGGAGCAACTCCTTTTAATGGAATGCAATGAATTGGAGGAAGCAATTTCTTTAGATTCAGATGAAGCTGGACAACTTAAGAACTTGTCCGTTCCTTCCCAACAAGTTTGTTTTCCAAAATTAGGATCTATTAGGATTGAAAAATGCTCCAAATTTAAAAGAATCTTCTCCATGACCATTGTTAAAATCCTACCGGAGCTAAAACAATTGGTTGTAAAGGACTGCAATGAATGGAAGGAAATAATTTCCATAGATTTAGAGGAAGCAAGAGAACTTAGAAACATATCTTCTCCTTTGTGTCAAGTTTGTTTCCCCAAACTGAGGACAGTTGAGATTGAAGGCTGCAACAAATTGAAAGCAATATTTTCTGCTACCATTGTTACAATACTGCCGAGGTTGGAGCTACTGTTTGTAAAGGACTGCAGTGAATGGGAGGAAATAATTTCCGTAGATTCAGAGGAAGAAGAACAACTTAGAAACCAATCGTCTCCTTTCCAACAAGTTTGTTTTCCAAGATTGAGGACTATCAATATCCAAAAATGCAACAAATTGAAAGCAATCTTCGCTGCAACCATTGTTACGAAACTACCAATGTTGGAGTATTTGACTGTGAAGGATTGCAATGAATGGGCGGAAATAATTTCTTTAGGTTCAGTGGAAGCAAGACAACATAGAAACCTGTATTCTCCTTATCAACAAGTTTGTTTCCCTGTACTGTTTACAATTGAGATTGAAAGATGCAACAAATTGAAAACAATTTTCCATGCTGCCATTGTTACAAGCCTACCAGAGTTGGTAGAACTGTCTGTAGAAGACTGCAGTGAATGGGAAGAAATAATTTGTTCAGATTCAGAGGAAGCAACACAACAAAGAACCCTATTTGCATCTTCCCAACAAGTTTGTTTCCCCAAACTGCGAAGTATTTCTATCGAAAAATGCAACAAACTGAAAACAATATTTAATGCTGCAGTTGTTTCTAGCCTACCAGAGTTAGAAAGTCTAATCATAAGGAACTGCGATGAATGGGAGGAAATAATTTCTTTAGATTCAAGGGAAGCAAGACAGAATGAAAACGTCTTTGCTACTTTCCAAAACATTTGTTTCCCCAAGCTACATAGATTTTGGGTTGCAGGATGCAACAAATTGAAAACTATCTTCTCTGTGTCCATTATTTCAAGCCTACCAAACTTGGAATCCTTGTCTGTAGCTGACTGTGACAATTTGAAAGCCTTAATTTCTCCATACTCAGTGAAAGAAGAACAAATGAGAAACAAATTAGCTCCTCCTCATCAAGTTAGTTTCCTCAAACTGGAAAGTATCTGGATTCAAAGTTGCAAGAAATTGACAACAATTTTCTTCACAACCACTATTTCATATATGCCAAAGTTAAAACACCTGTGTGTATTTGACTGCAATGAACTGGAGGATATAATTTGTTCAGATTCTATGGAGGAAAAACCACTTAGAAACCTATCAACTCCTTCCCAACAAGTTTATTTCCCCAAACTAACAAGAATAGATATTGAAAGATGCAACAAATTGAAAACAATCTTCTCCTCGACCATTGTTGGAAACCTGCCAGAGCTGGGAAGACTCTATGTAAGTGGTTGCAATGCATTGGAAGAAATATTTTCTTTAGATTCAGTGGAAACAGGACAAGTTGAAAAGATATCTGCATCCTCCCAACAAGTTTGTTTCCCTAAACTCAGCAGCATTAGTATCCTAATATGCAACAAATTGAAATGCATTTTCCCTTATACCATGGCTTTTCATTGTCCTTCACTGGACTCACTATACATACAATCATGCTCTCAAGTTGAGCACATTGTTAATTTTGAACCTAAAGCTACAACTGAAGGAGTTTCAGGGATGGTTGTTGATCATGATCATGGAGAGCATTTATTGTTTCCAAATCTGCATTGGCTAGGAGTCAGGAAGTTGCCAACTCTCACTGGAACTTTTCCTTGGTATAATGATGAATCCCAATATCGTCATTTGACCATAGAAGATTGCCCCAAGTATTTGTGGTATTCAGTTTCTACTTAGTCTGCCTCACCATATAGGTACATAACTATTACTACTACATTTTTACCTGGTGTTAGTTTAAAATGGCATTCATCAATTTAATTGGTGAAATATTTAGCGAATACCGATTTCTGCGATTTCTCGTTTTCAAATTTTCATTTATCCAGTCAATGATTATAGTTACAGGAAAAATTGATCATCATTAGAAATCAAGTTTGAGACTAATTCAAATTAATTCCAAGTTATGAATGATTTTGGTAATGAACATCTTAACCCAAATATTTAAGTTGTAAATGGTTTCTAAATTAAATTAGATTAAATAGTAAGCTTTGGAGTTCAATCTTTTTCCTTGATATTTAAAGGAGAAAGTCAGCATGTAAAGAATTTTCTTTTTCTTTTCTTCTTTTTTGACTGATAAAAGAATCCATTCAATTCATGTAGGCTTTGACAAGAATAGAAGTATTGGGGCAGTGGCTGCAGTGTGTAGAGACACATCATGTCAGTAGCTAAGAAGGGAAGGTAGATGGTAACATGGTCTCCATTGATTCCAAAAGCTCTTGCTTTCAGAGAGGTTCTTGGTGTCTTAGTTCCTTTGTAGTGGTCACTCCTTTTCCTCTACAGTTCCCTTCATAAGCAACGTACAAGGGTGTCGTCAACTATTGTTGTAATCATGAAGTTGATATCTTGTGCTGAATAGAAGCTTGCTTTGTAAAGGCAGAAGAAAGGCATTGGTGTGATCTCTTGAGCTATATTATATTTATATGTAATGGACCTTCAGTTGAATTTTTATAGAACTGGCATGTAAAAGTTGAGTCCGTTCTCTTTTTTAAATGGCTTGATTTCAATATTTGAATAATATATGCACTCCTTTAAATTTTAAAGAAATTAATTAAGAAGTGAAAGTGTTTAAATTAAAAAAAAATTGTGATGAATTCATTTCCTCTTTTTCTTGCTCCACTTGCTAGTTCTTAAGCTGTTTATTTTGTATTATCATTCGTTTAATGGTTAGTTAGTAAAATTTGATGGTCTCTTTTTGACGTATATACTTTAAAATATTATTATAAATTTATGTACTATCTGATTTTTTTGCTTATTTTATCTCAATTAATACTTTCTTTAAATAGTCGTGTTTAGAGTTTTTAAATCAATAATCTTTTTCAATTTAAACTAAGATATGCAACTTATGTGAGATGTATTACTAGTGGTTTAGTTCTCTTCTTCGGCTGGATACTTTTTATTCTTTTGAATAAGTGACTTGGGATTAAAGAGTAGAATTTTTACTAATTTATAAAATTAATACAAATGCATTTATATATATATATAAAAGAAAAAGATCTTTTTATACAAGTGTAAGTCTAAAAATTCTTACTATTAATTTAAGTTTTTTATTTAATTTAAATCTAATGGTCAGTAAAGTAATAAATTATAACATATTAAATTTAAGTTAAATGAAAAACTCAAATTTGATATAAAAAATTTTAAACTTACACCAGTATGAAAAATTTTGTCCCATATACATATATATATATATATATATATATATATATATATATATATATATATATATATATATATAAAAGCACGTTTATTGCATACTTTTAAAGTTTTTTAAATATTTCATGCGCACCAGTGGTATCTCTTTAGTTGACAGCCAAAGATTAATTACTAAAAAGCCTAAAATTGCCAAAATGAGTTACCAACAAAGTTTTTTCTATAAACATGAACAAGAATCAAACTCTAGAAAATATTGTTTTTCTCATCATATCAATGTTATTCGAATTCAAAAAATGATTGTTGAATAGCCACTACCAATTTCCATGTTGGTATTAAGAACTGCATTTAGTATATACAAGAATAATAATGATAACATGCTCGAAAACAAAATTCCATACTAGAAATAAAAAATGAGAAAAATTGATCTATTACAACCTTTTGTGATTTGCAAAATATATCTTACAACTCCAAAGAATGACAAAATCTCTAGTTGAGCACATATTTTCACAGAATACAAGTGATGTTGATTGCAGGGTGGCACCACATCTGCAAAATTTGTTTACTCAAAAAATACTTGAAAAGAACTTTGACACCGCAATTCCAACAGGGAACATAAACATGTGACTTCTGAAAGGTGAGATGGTATAGACCGACATCAATGCCGCTGGAAGATTATTTGGTGCCCTGTGATCTTTATAAATCATTGCTTCAATCAGGAAGCAGAAAATATTTGTTAGGGGTCCAAATTACAAGATCAATGGAAGTTAAGGGATTATTAAAAATAAGTCTTAATTTGACAATGCTTCACATTCACAATAATTTTGAAGTAGTCAATTTTCATTTTTTTTTTGTGGGTATCCATAGAAGTAGCCATGCCATAGCTTTAATATACATATAATTCAGGAAATTAATAGTTAACTGAAGAATTATAATCAAATAAAGGACAAACATGCAGCTTCTGGAAAAAAATTGAAAGATGTAAAACATTTCAGTCACCAAAAAGAAAAGAATTGATGTTTCATAAGTAAACGTGTTGTTAATTTCCTAGCCCATGCAAAAATAGAAAATTTGTTATTATTGAAACTTCAACTTTCAAGATTCCAGCTTTCATTTTTATCTACAATACAGGAGCCAAGGTTGTCATTTGCAGGATTTTAATAGCATGCAGCATCAGCTACCTCCAGATGAATACAACAGTATGAAGCAATAATATATGCATTTATGAATATATAAAATATAAGATTGTGATTCATAAAATTTAACTGGCATCCAAGAGAAAGCATACTTTGGATTTTAATTATTTGGTCCTTAAGGTTTCAGATATCTTCTTGTTCCTCCATCTCCTCAAGAATAACATATTTGGCAGCAGAATCTCTTGAATTCTCTGCCACATCATTGCTGCCTGCATGGCCCTTCTGAAGCTTCCGGTATCTGAATTTTTTTGGAAAGAACAAAAACATTTAATGACTAGCATTAAATTGAAAAAGTATTACCATGTCTGAAGAACACCCGGATGGGTTTGGTAGGCAAGATAGAATATGTGCAAGATTTATAGATCAGCATGTTGTAATTTGAGCTCTAATGCTGTATTATTATATCAGAAAATTAGCAGTTCCATTGTTTTACATGTTACAAACTAAAGTGTTAAAAGGTGGTTCCATTATTTTCTTGTCCGTTTCTCTGATAGAGTAGAGTAGAATGAAGTTCGCCACCAGTTCTTTCTTAAACTTACAAAGAAACAAAAAGTAATAAATAAAAAAACCATTTTATTTATTTTTTTCAATTAGAAGTTGAAATATTGATTAAAATAACTGATCTTTGTGATAGAAAACAAAGTAGAGTAAGGTTCCCTAAAACCCATTAGCAAACCATGCAAAGCCACAAATGAAAACTCAAGTACTCAAGAAGTGATGTGACATTGAACTTCTCAAATGTGCAAGCTATCAGTACAAGCAAATTAACTACATATATCAAGCAATTAGAGAAAAGAATGATAACAGATTAGATATTGTTGCTGTCTGCGGATGACTTACTTGTACCAATTAAACAAACTGACACCAACCATAATGGTGAATAGACCAAATCCTTTCAACCAAGTAAATTTGTCATGAAAGTATAATACAGCAACCTACACAAAAGCAACATAAAACCAGAAAATTAAGTTCAAGTAGATGTAATCAGCAACCCATATGTGAGAAGATTTAACAAAATAAAAAACATTTATTCAATACAAAGCATTATATTTATATGAGTAGAATAAAACATATATGTCGTATAATACGAATAATTCATATCTATATGAGCTGACATTAAAACTTAAGAATCAAGCAAGTCAAAAGTTAGTTCTTAAGTTTAATAACCACCCAAACCCTACTCTAATGCAATACAGAATTGCAAGTATGCCTTTAATTCAATACTAAAGAAAACTAAATGCAACAAACTAACAAAACTATAAGTAAAAATGACAGCTCTAACTAATTAAGTATTTAAAACACTAAAGCTGGCCCCAACATCAAGATCAAACCAAAATTTGAAATTTTTGTTTTAACTTTCTAGGTTTTGTGCACCTTAACTAATTTCTGTCTTATGTGCTTATGACATGTAACAGGTACATCAATAGAAAAGAGAAACTTTGTACAATTGGTCCATGAATCCTAATGGTTTTTTTTTTTTTTACTTTTTATTTTCCCTTTTGATAAAGCTAGTGATAATATTTACTTGGCCAGGATCATAGTAAATATTATTGGTAAATGAAAGCACAAGCTATTGCTGCATCAATGTAATCCTGATGGAATTACACCACAGAAGTGGAAATATGTAGCCAAGAAACACCTGATTGAATAATAAGAGAGGTAGCGATTGGATAATCAAATCAACAAACGAAAATAATCTCAAAACATAATTGATACCAATATGGTGACGGCCTCCTTAACAACCCCTGCTATAGTAACAGTGACAGCACTAGTTACTGAGACAAGAACATATTCTGTTAGTACCTGCAAGAAGATAAGGATCCAAAAGTTAAGATGAAGAAATAAAAGGTTAACTAATATGACTATGACTGCACACAAACAAAGGCCTGGTCTGGAGAAGTCAAATAAGAAGCAAGTCAAACGATAACTATTGAGTATAACAAAAGTTATATTTCTCCTAGAGTGAATAAATGACTGTTAAATTCCATGCCAGGAGGCAAGTAAACTGGGATGAAAGAATATGTATGCATCTTAAGGGGATATCTCTCATACCATAAAAAATGCAAGTGTCCCACCAAAAAGCATTAGCAAGCAACTTTGACCGATATGCCATGAATTATCAAAGTACTTGTTTTCCCGGAATTCATCCCATGGATCTAAAGCAAGAGAAAGAAGAGCAGTTGCTGCTGCCATTACTGGAGTTACATAGCTCATCAGGGTAAGCGGATTTTTCAGACCTGAAATAATTTGAAAAAGCATATAAAAATTTTGCTAAAATATAACAGCATTTAACAAATTCTAAGTGGAAAGTGAACTCATGCAAAACAAAGGCTCAATGCAGGAGTGAAAATTTAGAAAGAGGGAAGGGAAACACTGGGATATGACAGTTTAGAGAGTTAGCCTTGCTAAGTCTTTTAATAAACAATAATGCTTTATAATTTCAGATCTTCAAGGCCCACAAGTGCTTGGAATGATGCTCTGCTCTCTTGAGCTGATTTTGGTCTTTCCCTTTTATCCTGGACTTTGGGGTTGTTAGGAGGGCTCCTGATCATCTTCTTCTGTATTTGTCTTCCCTTATATTAAATTCTTCTATCAAAGAAAAAATTCAATTCCTTGATGTGTATTTAAATCTACAATTCCACACTTTACTTTCTATTTATTAACCTTGTGTATTAGCTTCTTCTGGAGCTTAGTAATCAATGAACCTGAGCTTATATGTAAGACTCCAGGATAGAGCAATATATTGATTGAAATGTAATTTAGCTTTCATGTTTACTAAGGTATGTCAATCTGTCTGGTATAAAGGTAGTTGCTAGAAAACATATTTCTAAAGACTTATAAGTGAGGTCTGTATGTAAAGAAAAACAAGATCATAATAATTTTTCATCAAGGAGAAGCCAATTACTTTATTAATTAATTTGGGAGGACAACATTATACAGTGAAAGCAATAGGTGTATTTAGTTGACAAGATGGAGGAGTAACTAAGGGAGAAGGCAGTAACCTCAAAACAAAATAAAAGCTATTATCCCTCTGACAGTTGAAGTCACAGTAGTTGATCCATCAGCTTTCCAGCAAGGAAACTCCAACTAAAATATGTACAATTAATATCTTAGAGCTGCCTCACTCGTTAACTGAGTTTGTTTTATGCTTCTTTCTTTGTTTGTTTGTTTAGGAGGATTCCTTGTCCTCCTCTCTTCAAAATTCTTTATTAGTCTCAGTAAGTTTCTTTCATGAAAAAAATGAGCTATACAAGTATCTGGTAATTAGGTTTCTCAATGCTTCTTTATCTCAGAGGTTAAATTAATCTGTAGTCCTTGAACTATTTGAGAATTTTTAATAGGCCTCTGCACCTTCAAAATGTTTGTAATCCCTAAACTAATAATTTTCAATTGGGTCCCAACCTAGGGTTCTGTCAAGTATAGGAACCTAATTGAAAGTTCTCAAAGAGTTCAAGGACCTACTAAATAATTAATTTAGTGATCTAGTTCCTGAACTATTAAAGAAATTTCAATTAGGTCCCCATACTTGAAACCCTAGCCAAGAACTCAATTAAAAAAATGGTTTATAAGTTTAGGGACTTAATTACAAACTTTCAAATTATAGGGACCTGATTAAAACTAAAATAATTAAATTAGTGATCTAGTCCCTGAACTATTAAAGAATTTTCAATTAGGTCCCTATGCTTGAGACAAGGCTCAATTAAATTTATTTATAAGTTTAGGGACTTAATTACAAACTTTTAAAGTATAGGGACCTGATTAAAAAATCTCAAACAGCTCAGGGACTAACATTTAACCTATCTCAAATGCATAGGCATAATGCACCATCTTCTGAATCAACAATTATACACAATTTAATCACAAATTTATGAATTTCCAAAAAGGGAAGAAAGAATCCTTGGTCGATAAAAATAATGAATAAACTGGCAGAAAATAATATCAGATTTACAAATTGACTGACCAAAACCAAATAAAAAATGAGTAAGTGGAGAGAACAAAACATGAAAACTTTAATTAAGTGAAAACTGTCACTTAACATATTGCATAAATTTAACAACACTGATATTTTGAACAAATTATTGATATGGAGATATGCAGAGCACATACCGTAAGCTTCTTTCTTTCAATTTGGTTTTCATGTGAATGGCAAGAATGAAAATCAGATTCCAACCCAACAAAAAGAAGCAAGAATGCATTGTCAATAAGAGCATAAAAAAATAAGAATGTGAATGTGGTTGTGTAGATAGACATGTAGATATAAATTATACAGAGAAATGAGAATGAAAATACAATACCTGCAAAAGGATCTGAGTCATACACCAGCGAAAGCCAGACATAACAGCAGCAAGCATAACAAGTACAAATCCCCAAAAGTCAAACTCTGTCTCTTTTGAAACTGTGGTACAAAAATAATATTAAAGATGGAAGGTTTGAATTGACAATGCAGTATAAATTTCTGAAGTTTTCAAATTAGAAATTGATATGTTTCAAATAGAAATGAAAGATCAAGAGCTCATATGAAGAAGAAAAAACAATATAAATTGACAATCTTTAAAAGCATAAATTTTTTATCACTGTCCCCAAAAAACATTCATGTGAAAATCAATACTTATAATTGATAGGAACTACAACAAGAATATGAGGAAGAACTCAGTGGCTGTTTTAAATTCTGATAACTGCTTAATTAACTAACCTTCAAACTAATTTGTATGAAAAATGTCTTTCCTAACTTCTGTCTGGATGATATTTCACTTTGGACTTGAAGTAAATCTTTCACACAAAAAAAATTCAGAAATACATTTAAATAGCTTGGTAAGATGGAAACATCCATAATAAATATCCTGTTTACTTTGTAACGTGCCCTCACTCTATAATACATAACAATGGAGCTTATAGGAAGTAGCATTGGCTCAGATGTTCTAAATTCTTAAGTGCACTGTGCAAATACATGTATATTGAAATGACATATTATGATGGGCACCAGAAATGTAAGAAACAAAACACAGACAGAGGTTCTTCAAGGACCTCTTTCTCCCCAATCGTTCCACTGAATTCTTGTTTACCCTCCCAGTGATCTCATCATTTCATTTATCTATGCCCCTCCTATAACAGAATAGTATTCACTCCAACCTCCCAGATGCCTTGTGTCCAGGAAGTTATGCAGGATCCAGCCCCTTACCTAATACCCTTCTCCAGCCCATTTTGGCTTTCTGGGGCCTATAGCCCAATAGCCTTCCCCCTTTAGCTCTTCAAATTTAAATTTCACTAGTAGGGGGAAATTTATCATATTAGTGGATTACTACTGAGGAAGTGAAGCAAGACATCATTACCTGTTAGTAATATGCCAACGGAGATGATTAAGATGATGCCTGATAGTTTAACGCTTGGCGTCTCCAACCTTTAACCGAAATTTACAATTAAACGTCAAAAAATGTGAGCAAATAAATATATAAACACAAAATAAATATTCATCTAGAGGATGCGTAACTGAAAATGCAATAATTTTTTAACCAAAAACAAAAAAACATCTCAAAAAAATTTAACACATTACAAAATGCAGAACTGCTAATTTGAAATAATTGTTAGCATGTCAATTCTAAAAGAATTCTACCTGCTCACAGAATAAATAACTATCGGTGTAGATAATAAATACACATGCCGATTGTCTTCTAGGTTATGCAAGACTTCATAATTTTTTATTTATTTTTTTTTTTTTTTTTGCATTAATGCAATACACCTGACCTACAAATTATCTTATGTAGGTGCTGAAATTTTAGAATGTTAAACATTTATCTCAAGAAATCACAAGAATCACATGATCAGAGTATTTACAAAGACAAAAATGACATGAAAATCACCTGAAAGCAAAAGCAAAAAGAAGAAGAAAAATTGGAGCAGCAGATTTACACTGCAAAGAGAAAAGGAAGAATAGTTACTTCCACTAAAATGGAGGCGAAACATAGAATCAGGTATGGATGTAATATTACAAAAGAAAATATAATTAAATTATCATTCCTCTAATTCTACATGAAAAGAAAATAAATGTCACGAACCATTGTAGCAAATGTGACAGAGATGAAAACTAAAGATGCATTGCTCAAGTTAACATCCATTGCTGTCCCAAGAGCAGTTGGTACAACTGTTAAAGGCAAAGTCCATCTGTAGCATTAGTTGATATAAAAGTTAATGTAATGTGCCGTGAGAAATTTGCAAATGTGCTTCAAAGTAGAAGATTAGCGAGACAAAAGTTTTAAAAAAAAATGGCACAGTAAAACATCCTAGGTGGTGTTAGAGCATTTCACATTGCTAGCAAATTTGTGCATTTCAATGAAAAAAGATACTCAAATCAGCAAATAACAAAAATTGATGAAATTCATCAGATGAATAGGCCAATTATTCAAAATTTGAACATAGATGAGCTTTCATACAAATAAACAGAAGTTGTAGTTCCAAAAAACTAAAAAGACCTGAGTATATATATTTAACGAAGGAGAGAAAATTTCTTTTAAATGTCTGACATTATAACACTTGGATTAAGTGATGTTAGAGGTACCAATAAAAGCATTCATGTGTTTTCACCTAGCTGGCAACCATCTAAGTGTCTGGGATAGTTGGTTTATGATAAGTGGTATAAAAAAGAAAAATGAAGATGCTACAGCCAGAACTTTTCCTGATAGAATTTGAGGCAGAATAAGTTGTTAGTTTTTCTGACTTTTAGATGGATGACTGGCCTACCATTTAGTCATCTCTAATTGAATTTGGCTAAATGCTGTCGTTGTCATGTTTGGTACCCAGAATAATGATTCATGGAATGAGAACATAATAAGGAAATAAAAATATTTCACTTTCCTTCTGAATATTTTAATGTGTAATATGAATGTATAGTTTTGAGATTAATGTTCAAATTTTATATTTTCATTATAACTTGATTAAAAAAAAATCATTACAAAAAGAGCAAAACGATTTTTTTATTTGATAGAAAAAAATAAAGTGTCTATTGTCATTTGGGATATAGGTATAATACAGACATTAAACTTGAATTATACTGCCTCTTCGTTAAATATTTCAGTGATAGAACATTGTATTTCTCATGGATTTAAAAGGATTAAAATATAACATTGATAATAGTTTTTACTTTGCAAAATTAATGCAGATATGTAGGGAACAGGAAAATAAAATCTTATTCCATGAGGCATGGAATCCCAATACCACCTTGCTTGGAGGAATGGATTTTATTCTCCATCCTGGTTCTGTAGAATGAGGCCCGAAATGGAATCTCCATTCTGCACTTTCATTTTCCTAACAAAATGGGAATCCCCATTTCATGAAATGGGCAAACATCATTCAGATTTCTTCTTGTAGTGATGCTCTATTTTTAGGAAAGATGTCATTATTGCAAAAGACACTTGGCAAATGGAAACATAAATAGTGATAATACTATGATGGGAAATCTATTTAAAACTGGATGTTCTAAATGATAACAATGGTTCAGAATGTCTAGAAACCTGGAATGAGTAGTATCTTTATTAGGAAATATATGGAAAAACTCCCCAATTTACAGAACAGAGCACTTAGTACCATGGTAGTCAAAATCAAGATTTTACGTGGGATCGGAAAAGGGGTGAACGATCGTAACTTGTAAGATTGTAACACGGATTGTAAGATCTTACAAAATTGTATAAATACATATAAAATAGTATAAATATTAAAATGAAAGAAGCTAAACAAAGACAGATGTAGGGAAAGGAACCATCCTTAACTCAAAACAGAAACAGGGACATGTCCATTAAAAACAGAGACAGAAGAGGAGAAGGAAAAGATGGATTATGTAATGTATTCTGATGGAAAGACTCTTTTACCCTTAAAAGAACTTATAGCAGAATCATTTTAAGAGTAAAAAAAGAAAGTCAAATTATTTTTTAAATATAAGATGCCTTTTTACCCTTAAAAAACCCTAAAATCTTCCTCATTCTGAAGATAGAAAGAGAAAGTCGACAACTTTTGCTCCAGTGGCACTATTGCGCTGCAAATTAGGCTATGACAATGGCTGCAAATACAGTTGCGATGGTTGCCACGGCAAAACACTCCGCTATGACAAGGTCGCGGCGCAGACAAGGTCGCCGGAGTATATACAGTCACTGGTGTGAAAGCTATAGGGATTCAGAGTAGAGGAATGAAGTTGCATATTAAAGGAAAGGTTTAAGTATCACAGAACGAAACTGGCGCAGACAAGGTTGCCAGAGCATATACAGTCACCGGTATAAAAGCTATAGGGATCGCAAAGCAGAAGAACGAAGTCACAGATCAGAGGAAAGGTTTAGGGATCACAAAATGAAATCAATTTTAGGGTTTAAAGCAAATTGGGTTGCGGGTCATTGGGTTTGAAAACACGGGGGGATCGTCCAAGCTTACCGGTTTTACGTTCTGGCACGGCGATCCCACTCGATCTTGCTAAATCACAATCTTGGCACCAAGCTAGCACGGAGAGGGAGTTGGAGATCATAAAATTGTGCGATTTTACGTTCTAGCACGCGATTTTGACTACCATGCTTAGTACACACAGCAGATTTTAACTGCACCTCCCAAGCCAAAATGCCCCAACTTTCTCAAAATTGACAAGATGCTCTTTCTCTTAATCCTCTTCTTATTTATAGGCAACATGCCTTAATTCTTCTGATTATCCCAACCCAACACACTCCCTCCCTAACAGTCCCTAACAAACACTAACAGATATCTAATACCTAGAACTTAGAACTACATAACAGAGACAAAAATAGGATGTTTTTTCAATGGTGAAAAGTAGCACAACTAGTATCTTCCCTGGTTTACTAAGGAACTAAAGCTGTGGTGGAGGTCCAACCCTCCAACATCCCCATTTCTCATCCCCTGCTTATGTCTGATAGGACTTCCTGCTTGCTAGAACCACAAGAAGTTTAATATAGTAAAATTGAACATTGTTCTAGAAGATACTTAATGATAAAAAAAAAGGGATTTATGTGGCATATTCCACTAGTTGTATACTTTCATATACTTGACCATATCATGTTTGGTTCAACTTAAATTTAAAGAAATAACCATTCATTTTCAAAAGCTTTCTTTGGAAGCGATTATTTCTCTCAAGTAAGCTGAACAAACATGCCTTTGTCTTTCATCTATAAGAAAATATTTATTGACAAAAAAAAATATGGCATGGTTTCTTAGAAACGATAAAACGTAGTACATATCCATAGACACTAACATTGAACAGTGTTCCAGTCTTCCAAATGAATCTAACAAATAGAAAGGTGTGATTGCCAAATTTCAAAATTTGTCCATTTTCATCATGTAGTTGACCAAGCAATGGGTAATAGGTTGAGTTAATTTGTCTCACCAAGTAAACAAACAAACACTCAACCTACAAAAGTAAGAGCCTAGTATGTTTCACTCATTTTTTATTCCAAGCCATAAAAATGTTATATGTTTGGACCACAATACTGTAGAATCATGACATTTGAGTGGCAAAATGATGAGAAAAACAATTCCTATTTCAGAAGAGCTATTATCACCACAAAGAATTAAAAATTACTTTAAATCAAAAGCACTTAAATTTAACCGGTGTCATTCTGCATTGATAACAGTCAATAAGTTATAACAAAAATTTAGCTAAAATGCAATAAGAAGTTACAGCATAGCATACCTAATCCACATAATAAAGAGGTGGCAGAGTTAGAACTTATGATACAAAGAATGAAGAAGAGGAACTGAAAATTTACCTCTCAAAAAGTAATCCCTCCAAGACATGACAACACTAGTCTCAAATCTATGAGACCAATACCAAGTGATAAATCTTGATAAAACAGCTTGCATTACAAAGTGGATAGTATTCATTAAAAATGGAGCTGGGAACTTTCCCATGTGATCTCCTAATAGACTTTTATTATACCTGTTAAAATAACTAGAATCAGAAAAGAAAGGAAAAAGGATTTGCATCACAAACAACACTAAACAAGGTATATGTGCCAGCAATGACAAACTAAATAAACAAGGAACTTACAGGGTCAAAAATAGACTGAAAGTGTACCACATAAGTATGAAAAACAATGTCTTCAAGATATTTGCTACATGAATAGGATTCTGGGAGCCTTTTCCCAGTGATCCGTCACCACTCACAGAATTGTCAGAATCAATACCAAATGTTCCACTTTCAGACTTGTCTTCAATGTCAAAAGACACATACTTCTCAGATCCATTACCTCTCCGATAAACAGAATCATCATCCATGATACTAGTATCATTCATTTGCACACTCCTCTGCTGAAACTTTTGATGAAAGAATCTCTCTCTATCTAAAGGTCTGCCTTGCAGCTCGTTCTTTTCAGGAGAAGGCAACTCAAAATCAGAGTCTTCCTCTACGCTAACATCTCCGTTACTTAATTGCTGATCCAAATGGACCCTTTCATCATCGTCACACCAACGTGAAAATGAAAGTTCTCTACGAATGCCGGAGCCTAGGCTCTCGCTGCCAGCATCATAGATCCTTGTGAAGTCACTGCTTTCTAAATCCAATTCACTCTGTACCATCTCCTATTGTATATCGAATTATATCCATGTATATACTCTTCTAGCCAACTTCTGTTCAATATCATCACTTGTCACCAAATCCAACAACATAAGTACACTTTGGCTCATAGACCTGAGAGCTGCCACTATTATTCAAACTATCCTGTTGGGACCAACCAATAGTCAGCAAATAAAAACGGGTTCCCTTTATTTCAATCCAAAAGAAGTAACTCCCCAGAGCTCTTATATAGTCACTCTATACTTAGACTTGGATTGAACTGAAGAATCCAACTTTTCCTGTACAAGTACAAGTCAATATTCATAGCAGATGGTTAAATCTTCCCAAAATTAAATACAAACAAAACCATATTACAATAAAAACTGCCGAGAAAGCATAGAGAGAATATAATAATTCTTCAAAATTTTGATTGAACTTGAAATTGATTGAAAGAACAGCAAACCCCTCAACTACCACCTTTAGTCAAGGTACGACCCAAAAGTGCCGTAATGCTTATTAATAATAACAGGATTTAATGAAGACTGTTCTTTAACCAAAAAAAAAAAAAAAGATTTAAAGAAGGTAAATATAGTTAATGGTTGTTTTGCACTATCATTCAGACCACCATTTTTCATTTGAACAAAAATCAGCTCATACAAAAATACCATAACTTTGATAAAAGGTGAAAGATATAAAGACCCATTTGAGCTAAAATTACCTCGTACATGCCAAACATGAGAAAACGCAATAAAAATGCAATCTTCGAGATCAAACACGTGATTTTTGCCCATACCAACCATGAAAATTTGATCATGACATTAAACTTTCACGAAGCATGGAACTAACCTGGGGCTGATTGAGAGAGAGAGAAGAAGAGAGATCTGAATCTGAAAGCGTTGGATCTGAACAGAACTTGGTTTCGATGTAAAGAGCGTTAGGCGTTTTGAGGAATTGGTTTAGGTGTTATTGTCTTGCACAACAAAGTCACCAACCTCATGTTAATATTATTGATTATCAATTTTACTGTCAATTAATTAAAAATTAATCTTCCAAGAAAATATATTAATCTCTTTTTATTTATTTGGTGCATAAAAATTGTTGGTATTGATTTTGTGCTTTGCATACTTTCCTGTAATTTGAAGTAAATCTTTGCTTTCAACGTGGAAAATGGTTTTCAAGACTCGGTCGGTGGTGGGGGCTGCTTGGTTGAAACTAGGGATACAAATAGGTGACGGTAGACAACTATTATGGTGTAATTTTTTTAAAATTTAGCTTAATTTTTTCTATTTAAGTAAAATACTTAATTTAAATTTTTTTAAAAAACTCAATTAATTAAATAAATTATATTGAAATTAAATTTTTTTATTAAACCTAATAAAATATCTATTTAAGAATCATAAAATTCATAATAATTATATAATTTTATATAAAAATAATATTATATTATATTATATCAAATAAATTAAATTTTAAAATAAATAAATTTTAAATTAAAATTTTAAATTTTTTTCATTAAAGTTAGAAAGTATTTTTATTACATACTCGCTAAAAAAATAGTTTCATAACATGGATTTGTATTTGTGTTTATTGAATACTTAATATTTTACTTATTTAAATTAAATTTATAATTTAAAAATAATAAATAGAAATATGTAATTTTATTATAAATATTTAATGTGCTAAATTATTTTTTTATGCTTGTAATCTTTATAAAAATATGCTATTTAAATAATTTAATAGTCTATTTATTAAAAAAATTATTAACAAAAATAATAATATTACTAAACATAGATAATCAGAAAGTTTTTTTAATTAGAATTTTATATTTTTTAACTTTTCACTCAAACATTAAATTATAATACTTTATTTTTCTTTTTCTTTAAGTGTCTAGAAATAAAAGAAGATATCACTCAGTTCTTTTAAATAAAATTATACTTTTATAGATTTAACTATAACCTGACTCTTTACTAAATAAATTGAATACAAGTAAAAATCATAAGGTCTTTTTCAGGTTGTAATATGACCAAAGATTTTAATAATAATAAAAAGAAAGAATATACAAAGAGATAATAAATTATGACAATTAACAAATATTTCCTAAGTTTATAAATGAAGCAAATACTCTTCTTCTTGAATAACACTTTAAATTTCTTCACTACTAATTAACCACTACTTAACAAATTCTTCCAAAACATATAACATTTCACATATTAGATTAGTTCATACACAGTTTTCTATTGACATTATGCTCTTCCCCTTCACTTATAGATACTCTCCATTACCTATCTTTACCGTTGACTTTAATAACTTGTCAAAGTCCTTGAACAACTACTTATCACCTTTCATATGATGGATACACTGACTATCAACCAACCAATTGTCACATTGAGTGACTATTGAGAAACAAGTGGTCACAAATAATTGATCTTCTTCATACTGAATTGTAGTATGAACTCCTCCTTGGTACTATGTTTTTGTTTCCTTATAGAACCTCTTGATGTGCCCCATTAAGTGGCATCTCCTACACATTATAGTCATATTTTAGGATATTTTTGTGTGAATCAATATTTAAGGAAATAAAAATCAAATGAAATAAATAACTTTTCATAATGCTTTTAATTTGTTCTTAGTAAGTCATTTGTTTGTAATAAAGTTTTTATTTATTTTTGGTGTGTATTGGTTTTTGCAGGAATTTCAATATAAAAATGTATGAATTAGAGGCTTAAACAATTAAGAAGACCTTTGGCGTCATCACTTTTCTCTCAAAAAGTAACTACATCCAAAAAGCAAAGAACTCTTCTACGTAACCACTTTGAAAGTAAAAAAGGAGCAACACGCAAGATGCAGAACATTTATTGGTGCATGTAAACACTTTCAAAGGAAAATGTTTTCACTCAAGAATTTTAGAATACTTATAAATAACGCATATTTCAAATTTTAAAGGAATTGTTCATTTTTGTTTGTGCTTATCTGTGGAGAGAAGGAGAGAGAGAGAGAGAGAGATTTGAGAGGGTTTCTGAAGACTAAATTTGTGTGGAACAGGTTTGGATCTTTAGATTGGATGGAGTTCTCAATCTCTTCTTCCTCTACTTTTTGTTTCATTATGTTTTGCTAATTTCTTTTGTTAAGGATTGGTTAATCCTTTTTTGACATTGTAATTTGATTATTATTTTGGATTCTTGGTTAGTGATTATATTGAACACTCATCTTTTTTTAATGCCGTTCTTGAATTAGTTACTCAATTGAATTGATATTAAAGTGTTTGCATCAATGGAAATTGAACAAATAACTTTGATCTAAGATGAATTTCAAGATTGTAGAGATCTTATGAGTAAGTATTGATAATCGTGTGATTTGTTGAGTTCTTAAGCTTCATGTAATATTTGATTGATGTGAGCCTAAGGAATTATGGTAATTAATTAGATATTAAGATCATTCAGTCAAAGAATTGAATTTTGATTAAATTAGAAATTTTGATCATCAATTAGTCATAAAACCTAGGGATTCATAATAATCAGGCTTACAATTGAAGACTAGGTGAAATCATCCTTAACTCCTTTTGATTAGTAAATTCATTTTAGTCACTTGTATTTTGCTATCTTTCTCATTGGTTGCATTTTATGTTCTAATTCTTTAAATTTCCTAGCTCTACAACTTTTTATTAGCTCAAATAGTATGCAAATCTTGTAAATTGATAATTAAATGTATGCAATCCCTACAAACGATACTCAAAACTCACACTTCCATCTTTTATTTCTTACTACAATCACCTAGTTCACTTGCTAGTTTGCATTAACACCAATATCCTTAGTGTTCTTAAGTGCAACAATATTTGCTTCATACTTTTCTTGCACAAAAATAAGAATCTTTTGCACAATCCTTCCATTAGAAAGTTCAATGCCAAGAACTCTTGCCTTGATGGCAATTTCAATCAGGTTCTTTGAGTATTATTTACTTGACTCAGACTCCTTCATCTGCAACCTTTTGAACTCCCTGATCAAATTCAACACTTTCATAGTCTTATCCTCTCATCTCCTTGATACTAGACCTTGAGATAATCTCAAACTGAAGCAAGAGTCATGATTTTGGTGAAGATGGCCAATGAAACTTGATAAATGTTTTTTTGTGTTTGATCCTGTAATATATATCATGAATAATGATTGAGATTTTGAACTAGCCATTGTGGGAACTTGTTATTAATCATATTACTATTCATGTTTCAAGAAGAATGAACAAGAAATGAGAGTTTTTGAAAGGATAATAGAGAAAAGGAAAGCAATGTCAACTTCCTTTGTAACAAAATCAACAAGATATGTGGGCAAATTCACAACCATGTATCTACACATATACTTTCCATCTTGAATAAATTGTTATGAATGCAAAGGTAGGGATTTACATCGGCAAGTTCATGCCCATAAATTTGCTTATGTACTTCTCAAATTATGTAAAATAAGCAAAGTCTTTGAAGTAGAGAGATGCATGTTCAGATTCATGATCGTGTATCTTGTATGAACTTCATTGGTCGTGTTTCTAAGCATGTAGTTTAATGGAAAACTTAAAGGGATGAATTATTAGGAAACCAGAGAGATACACGATCAAGTACATGATCATGTATCTATGAGTGTACAATGATGAGCGTTAGATTTGAGCATCTACGAGATAGTGAACAATTGGGTTGTCTGATATAAAAAGAGGATGATGCAAAAACTTAAGAGGAGACAATTGGCAATAAAGTAAGTGTAATGACTGTAATTGGAGATGATAACAAAAAGACTTTTCTCTCGTTTTTAGATCTTGGATTGTAGTTTTCGTATGTTTTATTTCTAATTTACTTTTAGAGCACCTAGATGTAATGAATTCTCGGTAATCCTTTCCTTGAGTTCTCCTTCAAACTACTTTAAGTTTTGTTTTTTTGAGTTCAATTGAGTAGTTTTGTTTGTTGATTAATAATTCAATTTATCTTCTTTCTTATTTTCTTATTTTTTATTTTGAATAGAAATATGTGACATGAATTGATCATTGCTTAATTGAAAAGAATTTCTTGCAATCTTAGAGATAAAATTACATAAGTTCTATTTTAGAGATAACCCTAATTGCGGAATTCACAAATCAAAATTAATGCAACCTAGGGGTGTTAATTAGGAAGAGATTTCAATTAATTAACTAAAGGTTAGGAGTTACTTATCTTGAAATAGATATTTGCTTACTATAAGAATTCCACAACTTTAAGAGATTAAAATTCAGTAGTTGATGGAGAAATCTAGTTTGTTTGGATGCTTAGAATGATTTAAAATCTAGATACTCACTTTCTATATCTGAATTTACTTAACCCCGCTTCTAAATTTTAATTCTTGAAATCAATTTTCTTTTTATTTGCTATTTTTTTAATCTTAATGAAATTATCATCTTAATTCTTTTGTTTGTGTTTCTTAACAAATGAGTAATTAAAGATTAAAACACTTAGTATTCCTTCTTATAGTAATATTACAGTGACAATAGGTATACTTACCTATTTATTGATTTGAGTCACTAAAACTGCACCATATAGCAAACTCAATCTTTTGCCATTTTAAGGACTCTTTCTTATGAATATTAATTTTATTGATGGTTAGATTATCTTGAAGTGAAGCTATTTAGTAGTCATTTTTAACTACTTCTAGGTAGTCATACCCCCTCCCTCTCAAAAGTGAAGTTAGACTCGAGAGATTGCTTGATCCTCCTTCCATTTCACTCAACTTTTCACATGTATTACTCAAGAATCTCTCTCAATTTTGTAACGCCCCGAATTTTGGTAATATTAATTATTATATATATATATATATATATATATATATATTCATATGTGTGTTGATTTAATTGATAATGATGTTTATGTGTATTAAGTACATAGATGTGTGTATTTATGTGTATGCATGACTGGTTAGGGCTGAAAATGGGATAAATGCCTAAGTGCAAGATGTGATACTGGACTGTTCTTGCTGCATCGAGAGGATTCTCACTGTAGCGAGAGGGCCTTGGAAGGAAGGACCAGAATTGTCGCCTTCTCGCTGTAGCGAGAGATGTCTCGCTGTAGCGACAGAGTGACAGTTTAGGGTGCATTTTCTGGGTGCAGTCTCGTTGTAGCGAGAAGGTCTCACCGTAGCGAGATTCTGTAGAAACTAAGGTGCAGTTTTGTCTAATATTTTTGCTGCAGCGTGAGGGCGTGTC